TCTGAATTGGAAAATGAGTGGTATATGATTCTCCCAAGAATACATAATGGATGCAAAAATGGGACTGAATCCAGACCCCCTAAACCAGTACTTGATCCATCTACAGTATCTTATTTTGAAAAGAAAAAATTATTAGTACTTAGTAAATCATTTAAAATGGTATCTACCTAAAGACCTAAAGGTAAGACTGGAAGCCATTAAACTCCTAAAAGAGAACACATAAGCCAAACAGTCTTTGATATAAATTGTAGCAATATTTTTTCAGTGTGCTTCCTAAAGCAGAGGAAATAAAGTAAATATAAACAAATGGAACCTAAATTAAATTTAAAAGCTTTTGCACAGAAGAGGAAGCCATTGACAAAAAGACAACTTACTTAATGGGAAAAAAATTTTGCAAGTAATGTGACTTCTATATAAATGGAGTTAATATACAAAATATTTAAACAACTCATACAGCTCAACATTGAAAACACAATCAACTTGGTTAAAAATGAGCTGAATAGATATTTTTCAAAGAATACATACAAATGGTCAACAGGCACAGGAAAAGATGCTCAATCTCACTGTCAATTCAGTTCAGTCTCTCAGTCGTATCCGTCTCCTTGTAACCCCATGAATAGCAGCATGCCAGGCCTCCCTGTCCATCACCAACTCCTGGAGTGCACCCAAACCCATGTCTATCAAGTCAGTGATGCCATCCAACCATCTTATCCTCTGTCATCCCCTCCTCCCACCCCCAATCCTTCCCAACATCAGGATCTTTTCCAATGAGTCAGTTCTTCGCATGAGGTGGCCAAAGTATTGGAGTTTCAGCCTCAACATCCAGTCCTTCCAATGAACACCCACACCACTGATCTCCTTTAGGATGAACTGGTTGGATCTCCTTGCAGTCCAAGGGACTCTCAAGAGTCTTTTCCAACATCACAGTTCAAAAGCAACAGTTCTTCGGTGCTCAGCTGTCTTCACAGTCCAACTCTCACATCCACATATGACTACTCAAAAACCATAGCCTTGACTAGACGGACCTTTGTTGGCAAAGCAGTGTCTCTGCTTTTAAATATGCTATCTGGGTTGGTCATAACTTTTCTTCCAAGGAGTAAGCGTTAACAAATGTTGGCAAGGATATGGAGAAAAGGAAACCTTTATAAGCTGTTAGCAAGGATCCACAATGGTGCAGTCACTGTGGAAAACAGTATGGAAGGTTCTCAAAATACTAGTATAAGACCCAGCAGTCCCATTTTTGGGTTTTCTTCCAAAAAGAAAAACACCAAAAACACTCATTTGAAAACACTAATTTGAACATGCACCCAGTATTCATAGCAACGTTATTTACAACTGCCAAGATATGGAAGAAACACAAATGTCCATCTACAGATAAATGAATAAAGAAGATGGAATAACTATTCAGTCATAAAAATAATATTTTTCCATTTGTAGCAACATGGATAAACTTAGAGGTTATTATGTTGAGTGAAATAAGTCAGAGTTGGAAAGACAATTATATGATATCACCTATATGTGAAATCTAAAAAAATAAAACAAACTGGGGACTCTAACAAAAAGAAACAGGCTCACATACATAGAGAACAAACTGGTGGCTACTAGTGGAGATTAAAAAGAAGCGAGGGGTAAAATAAGATGGGGTAGGGGATTAAGAAGTACAAACTACCTTGTATAAAATAAATAAGCTACCAGGATTTATAGTCAGTACAATACATGGACTCTAACCACACATGCTCAGTCAGTTCGGTCGTGTCCGACTCTCTGCGACTCCATGGACCATAGCCTGCCAGGCTTCTCCATCCATGGGATTTTCCAGGCAAGAGGGCTGGAGTAGGGTGCCATTTTCTTCTCCTGGAATATAACCATGTTTTATAGTAAATAGAAATGGAATATAACCTTTAAAAAATCAGTCACTAGGTTGTATATCTGAAACTTACATAATATTGCACATCAGCTATACCTCAATAAAAAGAGAAAATGACATCTACCTAATACTAATAAAACATTTTCTTTTAAAATAGAGCCCCTCTTTGCCATTTCAAATACAGCCACCATCTTTTATATAAATGGAGTTACAGCTTCCAGAATGGCTTTATTTGACTGTTTTTTAAAATAAGTATAATTTGGGTACTGATGCGATATGTTCTGACCAAAAATATTTTCCATGGATCACAAAACCCTATATTACTTAAACTCCTTAGCTGGTCTTCCTTGGTGGCTCAGATGGTAAAGAATCTGCCTGTAAAGCGGGAGACCTGAGTTTGATCCCTGAGTCAGGAAGACCCCCTGCCTGGAGGAGGAAATGGCACCCCACTACAATATTCTTTGCCCAGGGCAGAGGAGCCTGGTGGGCTGTAGCCCATGGGCTCACAGAGAGTAAGACACAACCAAATTCCTTAGATTACTTAAACTCTTAAGGCATCCTTAATGTCATAGATAGTTTTTTAAATGTAAATATAAAAATTAATGCATTGCAGGCAGAATTTATTTAGTTAGATTCACTGTCACTGGGCCAAGGCTGAAGGAAAAGGAAAATTTCCTCCAGAGGAACTGAAAAATGACATTCATCAGAAAGGTGAACATGTTTTATGAATAGAGTTCAGTGAAATTCCAACAATATTCACACAGAAATTGTGTTCAGCTGTGAGTAACAAAGAACTAGAGGACATTAGTTTATAACATTTTTCAGGTTTATTTTTATTTATGTTGCATAATGAGAAGTCACAGGACAGTAGTTTAAAGGCATGAGGTGAGGCCTCTGAGATTCTCCTTGCATTTTCCTCAGCTCAGATATCCTACACTCATTCTAGCATGGAAAAAGGGGTGATGTGCATATCTGGAAAGCAAAAATCCTCTCAGTTTCATTAATCAGAGTGATCATGCGACCACACAGTTAAGCATCTCTGGGAAATGCAAGGTGTTTATTCTTATACAGCCCACATGAGAGCTATTAAAAACCAATGTTTCAGACGTCCCTGGTGGTTCACTGGTTACGAATCTGCCTGCAAATGCAGGGGACATGGGTTTGGACCCTGCTTCAGGAAGCCACAAGACAGCAAAGCTTACCTAATGCAAACACTGAAACCCTCACGCCACAACTGTTGAAGCCCACACACCACAGTGCCCGTGCTCTACAACACGAGAATTCATCGAAACAAAGAACCTGCTCAGTTCACTTCAGTCACTCAGTCATGTCTGACTCTTTGCGACAGCACGCCAGGTCTCCCTGTCCATCACCAACTCCCAGGGTTTACTCAAACTCATGTCCACTGAGTCGGTGATGCCATCCAGCCATCTCATCCTCTGTTGTTCCCTTCTCCTCCTGCCTTCAATCTTTCCCAGCATCAGGGTCTTTTCAAATGAGTCAGTTCTTCACATGAGGTGGCCAAAGTACTGGAGTTTTCGCTTCAGCATCAGTCCTTCCAATGAACACCCAGGACTCATCTCCTTTAGGATGGACTGGTTGGATCTCCTTGCAGTCCAAGGGACTCTCAAGTCTTCTCCAACACCACAATTCAAAAGCATCAATTCTTCTGCACTCAGCTTTCTTTATAGTCCAACTCTCACATCCATACATGACCACTGGAAAAACCATAGCCTTGACTAGACGNTCATGTATGGATGTGAGAGTTGGACTATAAAGAAAGCTGAGTGCAGAAGAATTGATGCTTTTGAACTGTGGTGTTGGAGAAGACTCTTGAGAGTCCCTTGGACTGCAAGGAGATCCAACCAGTCTACCCTAAAGGAGATCAGTCCTGGGTGTTCATTGGAAAGACTGATGTTGAAGCTGAAACTCCAATACTTTGGCCACCTGATGCAAAGAGCTGACTCATTGGAAAAGACCCCAATGCTGGGAAAGACTAGAGGCAGGAGGAGAGGGGGACGACAGAGGATGAGATGGCTGGATGGCATCATCGACTCGATGGACATGGGTTTGGGTGCACTTCAGGAGTTGGTGATGGATAGGGAGGCCTAGCATGCTGCAGTTCATGGGGTCACAAAGAGTTGGACACGACTGAGTGACTGAACTGAAGTGAACTGAAAACTGATGTACAGGTGGTGTACAAAAGAGCCCCCCATTAAGGACTCAGTTTAGACAAAGGCAGAGAAGGCAAGCACGTGACATGTCATAGGGCATAAAAAGAAAGAAATGCAGGTATCCATTAAAATCAACTTGTAAAGTTTTTATTTACAAGTTAATAAGGAAATGGTAAGAAAAACACCACACTTGAATAATTTACTCCTTTGGAGCAATGTAATGCAAATGACAAAGAAAAGGAGCAACATCATCCAGTTCCCATAATCTGCTTCTCCAAAGTGATGGGCTTCAGAAAAAGTAAAACTGATTTGTGCTTCATTCAAAACCTTCACAAGTGAATGAGTCTTCCAGACCTTCAGGCATATATTTGAACTTTAGGAAGAGGTGTTGGGTGATGGATTGTGGAGGGTTACAAAATGGAATAGAAGAAATACTGAAAAAAATATCAAAACTTTTTCCTAGTAATGGTCCATTTCTCTTTTCATAGTATACTCTTTACTCAGTTCTATGAGTGATCATCATCCTGCCTAGAGCAAAGATAAAGACATAAAGCTACTTATATAACACAAAAAGAATGGCGTTTTTGAAGGGGACAGAAACATTTTAAAAGGTTCAAGGGCTTTTCTGGCACTTTTCTCCTTATTTTTTCTTAAATCTATTAATCTTGATATGTCACCATGATTCTTTCCTAGAATTTATCAGTTCCATAAGGGGATTGATTACTCTAAATAGCTGTCAGCAAATAGTACTCTAAGTGTAGATATCTTTGTTATTTTTGTTATTTGTCTAAATTTTTGTGATGCCTAAGTGCTACATTAAAGTCACTGTCAATGAATAAATGAAAAGAAATCTGCTAAAACGGAAGCAATTGTAATATGTACTGTAGACACTTGTACATCAAAGCACCTTTAAAATAAGGTCTATAGTATATCTTGTTTGGTTTTGTTTTTTTTTTCAGTGATTGGAAATGATGGATTTTATATAATACTGAAAGGCCTAGCTCGACCTCAAACACAAATATATAAAAATATGATTGAAGAACATGAGTCTACAACCTCTTTCATACCTCAGAGTTTTCACAGTTTTGTTTTCAGTGAAGACTTCAGAAACCCTCTACTGACTGGGGTTGGTCCCACGGTAAGAAATGAGTATTTGCTTCTTCAATAAGCAACGATGTATCATTGTTATAAACTTTATCTCTTCCAGATATTTGAATTTACATATATCCAGTGTTACCTGAAATATTAAAGCTAATATAGATTTTAAAAATAAAAGTTATACTGTCATCACAACTGGAGATATGTTTTAAAAAAAATAATGAGGGATGCATTCCACAACATACTGCCCACTGACTGGTGTTTTGTGGTGCATTTGATTATTGAGACAAAGCCATTGTAATTGGATCGCTAAATGAAGAAGGAGGGCCATTTTGAGATAAGAGAGAGGGAGGGAGTGATTTAAGAAAGGGAACACAGAGGACAGAACATGAAGGCCCTTTTAAATAAAATTAAGAGTGTGTGCTTTTGCTGTCTATCTCAAGAGCAATGCTAAGATAATCAAAGTGTTGATTCTACTAAAATCAGAAAGTCTCAATTGAAGAAAACACTTTTTTTATATGCAATGTTCAAAGACCATCAACTGGCTCAAATAAAGGTTAATATCTTTCTGGATACCTGAATACCCCACATGAGGGTCTCCACTGGTTCAACTAGAATTGCGGCTATAAAAGCCAGTTTTGAATGCAGGGTGATCAAGATACTCAGAGGAGTAAATAGCCAAAGAAACTAATTAAAATCAAATGATTTAGCACTATGGATTGAAGTCAAAAGACCTAGAATATTCTCAGATTCAATAAGGATAGGCATGGATAAAGACAATAAAGACAGACATGGATAAAATATGAACTGGTTTTTTTCAGTCATTAAGTCATGTCCCATTTGTTGCAACATCATAGACTGCAGCACAACAGGCCTCCCCATCCCTCACTATCTCCCAGAGTTTGCCCAAGTTCATGTCCATTGAATCGGTGATGTTATCCAACCATCTCATCTTCAGCTGCCCTCTTCTCCTTTTGCCTTCAGTCTTTCCCAGCATCAAGGTCTTTCCCAATGAGTCGACTCTTCACATCAGGTGGTGAAGAATATTGGAGCTTAAGCTTCAGAATAAGTTCTTCCAATGAATATTCAGGGATTTTTTCCTTTAGGATTAGCTGTTTTGATCTCCTTTGCTGTCCAAGGGACTTTTGATAGTCATCTCCGACACCATAATTCGACAGAATCAATTCTTTGGCACTCTGCCTTCTTTAGGGTCCAATTTTCATATCCATTCATGATTGCTGTAAAACCATAGCTTTGACCTTTGTCAGCAAAGTGATGTCTCTGCTTTTAATATGCTGTCTAGGTTTGCCATAGCTTTCCTTCCAAGAAGCAAGTGTCTTCTAATTTCATGGCTGCAGTCACCAACTGCAATGACTTTGGAACCCAAAAGAAAAAAATGAGACAAAAATATAAAAGTATAAATTGTTGTTGATCACACATGAATGAGTAATGCTTCTAACCTTCTGTCTTGATTGGAATAGAAAAGAATGAACTCACAACTCAATGGCCACCTGCAATGTTGTTTTTCAGTCATTCAGTCATGTCCAACTATTTGCGACCCCATAGACTGCAGCACGCCAGGCTTCCCTATCCTTCATTATTTCCAAGGGTTTTCTCACAGTCATGTCCATTCAGTTAATGGTGGCATCCAACCATCTCATTCTCTGTCACCCCCTTCTCCCCCTGCCCTCAATCTTTCCCAGCATCAGGGTCTTTTCAAATGAGTCAATTCTCCACACCAGGTCCCAAAATGTTGGAGCTTCAGCTGCAGCATCAGTCTTTCCAATGAGCATCCAGGGTTGATTTCCTTTAGAATTGACTTGTTTGATCTCCTTGCTGTCCAAGGAACTCTCAAGAGTCTTCTCCAGCACCACAGTTCAAAAGCATCAATTCTTCAGTGTTCAGTCTTCTTTATGGTCCAACTCTCATATCCATACATGACTACTGGAAAAACCATAGCTTTGGCTATATGGAACTTTGTTAGCAGTGATGTTTCTGCTTTTTAATATGCTGTCTAGGTTTGTCATAGCTTTTCTTCCAAAGAACAAATGTGTTTTAATTTCATGGCTGCAGTCACCATCTGCAAAGACTTTGGAACCCCCCCAAAATAAAATCTGTCACTGTTTCCATTTTTTCCTCATCTATTTGCCAAGAAGTGATGGGACCAGATGCCATGATCTTTGTTTTTTAAATGTTGAGTTTTAAGCCAGCCTTTTCACTCTCTTCTTTAAGCCAGCTTTTTCACTCTTCTCTTTCATCTTTATCAAGAAGCTCTTTAGTTTCTCTTCACTTTCTGCTGTTAGAGTGGCATCATTTGCGTATCTGAGGTTATTGATATTTCTCTCAGAAATCTTCATTCTCAGTTCAGTTCAGTTCAGTCACTCAGTCGTGTCTGACTCTTTGTGACACCATGGACTGCAGCACGCCAGGCCTCCCTGTCCATCACCAACTCCTGGAGCTTCCTCAAACTCATGTCCATCAAGTCAGTGATGCCATCCAACCATCTCATCCTCTGTCAAACCCTTTACCTCCTGCCTTCAACCTTTGCCAGTATCAGGGTCTTTTTCAATGAGTCAGTTCTTCGCATTAGGTGAACAAAGTATTGGAGTTTCAGCCTCAGCATCAGTCCTTCCAATGAGTATTCAGGACTGATTTCCTTTTGGATGGACTGGTTGGATCTCTTTGCTGTCCAAGGGACTCTCAAGAGTCTTCCCCAACATCACAGCTCAAAAGCATCAATTCTTTGGCTCTCAGCTTTCTTTATGGTCTAACTCTCACATCCATACATGACTACTGGAAAAATTGTAGCTTTTTCTAGATGGACCTTTGTTGGCAGAGTAATGTCTCTGCTTTTTAACATGCTGTCTAGGTTGGTCATAGCTTTTCTTCCAGGAGCAAGCATCTTAATTGCATGGCTGCATTCACCATCTGCAGTGATTTTGGATTAGAATCTTGATTCTAACTTGTGATTTTTCCAACCCAGCATCTCACATGATGTACTCTACAAAGTTAAATAAGTAGAATGATAATATACAACTCTGAGATATTCCTTCCCAATTTTGAATAAGTCCATTTTTCCACATCCGGTTCTAACTGTTGCTTCTTGACCTGCATACAGGTTTCTCAGCAGACATGTAAGGTGGTCTGGTATTCCCATCTCTAAGAATTTTCTGGAGTTTCTTATCATCCATAGTCAAAGCCTTTTGTGTAGTCAAGAAAGCAGAGGTAAATTTTTTTCCTGAAACGCCCTTGCTTTTTCTATGATCCAATGGATATTGACAATTTGATTTCTGGTTCCTCTTCCTTTTCTAAATCCAGCTTGTACATCTGGATGTTCTCTGTTCATGTACTATTGAAGCCTAACTTGAAGGATTTTGAGCATTACCTTGCTAATTTGTGAAATGAGTGTAATTGTGTGGTAATTTGAACATTCTTTGGCATTGCCCTTCTTTGGGATTTATATGAAAGCTAACCTTTTCCAGTTCTGTGGTCACTGCTGAGTTTTCCAAATTTCCTGGTGTATTAAGTGAAGCATTTTAACAGCATATTCTTTTAGGATTAGAAAATAGCTCAGCTAGAATTCCATCAACTCCACTGGCTTTTTTTTTAGTAGTAATGCTTCCTAAGGTCCACTATACTTCACACTCTAAGATATCTGGCTCTAGGTGAGTGACCACACCATCGTGGTTACCCCGATCATTTAGACCTTTTTTGTACAGTTCTTCTGTGAAGACCCAATACTTTTTCAATCTGCTTTAGGAAAAAAGAATACCACATTTTGCAGAGCAGGTATAATTAGGGCCATTTCTTTGTTAACTTTATAGTAATCCACTCCAATCTTCTAGCATCTAGGTGTTTGCTTGTTGAGGACAAAACTCAAGAATTTAATGAAATAAGATGGCACTACCAACTCTGAATCCTGAATTAGGTCTTTGAGGGCAGCAGTAATAGGTGTCATTCTTCCAGGAATGTAGTAGTGCTTTTGTTCCAGCTCTGCTGATGTATAATCTGACAAGAAAATTTATATATGTTCAAGGTGTGTATCTTGATGTTTTGACATATGTATACATTGTGAAGTGATCAGCACAATCAAGCTAATTAACATATCCATCATCTTATACAGTTAGATTTTTGTGTGTTTGTAATGAGAACACATTATCTGTCCTCCTAGCGAAGTTCACGCATACACTAGTGTGTGTGTGTGTGTGTGTGTGTGTGTGTGCGCGCGCGCGCTCAGTTATCTCTTACTCTTTGTGACTCCATCAACTTCAGCCCAACAAGCTCCTCTGACCACGGAGTTTTCCCAGCAAGAATACTGGAGTGGGTTGCCATTTCCTACTCCAGGGGATGTTCCTGACAGGAATCTAACCTGCATGTCCTGCGTCTCCTGCATTGGCAGGCAGATTCATATTGTTGATTATATTACTGTGTTGTGTATTAGATCTCCAAGACTCACTCATCTTGCATACAGCAAACTTTGTACCCTTTGATCAATACCTGTCTATTTTCTCTAGCCCTTAAACCTTGTGGCTTCTCTTGTGGCTCAGCTGGTAAAGAATCCACCTGCAATGCAGGAGACTTGGGTTTGATCCCTGGGTTGGGAAGATCCCCTGGAGAAGGGAACAGCTACCCACTCCAGTATTCTGGCCTGGAGTCCATGGGGTTGCAAAGAGTGGACATGACTAAGCCACTTTCACTTTCACTTTATACCTTGTCAGCAACATTCTACTGTCTTCTATGAGTTTGACAATTTTAAATAAAACACATAAGTGAGATCCTGTTTGTCTTTGTTTGGCTTATTTTACTTAGCATAATGTCCTTCAGGTTCATTTGTGTTGTCACAAATGTCAGAATTTCCTTCCTTTTCAAACTTGATAAAATTCCATTGTTTGTGTATATATCATATTTTCAACCTCCATTCATCCATGGATAAACACTTAGGTTGTTTCCATATTTTAGCTACTGTGAACAATGATTCAATAAACAAGGAAATGCAGCTGTCTCTTCAATATCCTCTTTTCCTTTCTTTAGATGACTGCA